CGGGTTGACAGGGGGTAGAGGCCGGGCTGACAGGGGCAGAGGCCGGGCCGACAGGGGGCAGAGGCCGTGCTGACAGGGGTAGAGGCTGGGCTGACAACAGTCCCATGCCACTTCTCACACTGCTTTGGAACATGCATATTCCATAGGTATCTGTCTGGGAACCTGGGATAGAAATGGTCTTGTGGGAGTAAAAGTATTTAAGGTTAAAAGAATTTGGCATTTGAACACTAACAATTATCAGGTTAATTGTTCTGGACACTAACAATTAGCAGGTTAAATTCACTCATTTTGCAGAGATTTAACTAACCAGGATTCTCAGTGGCAAAACCAAGCCAAGAACTCAGTTCTCCAGCTTCCAAGTTCACGATTCTTTTCTATCCTCTAATAGCTTTACCTTGTTGTTTTTTAACTTCAAGGCGCTTTCTTAAAAATATCATTTCTTCCTCTTATATTTCACACTCAGAACGTATTGCAGAGGTTAAGTACACTGAACTTGGCTCTACTGTCAATGTTTCAAGGATTCCGACAGCTTTATTGACTAGATTTCTATAATGATAGGGGATGCATTTGTCCAGGAGAAGCTACAGGTAGAGAAAATAATCCCTAAACTCTCTTTTTTCATGACAGAATGTGCAAAGCCCAGACAGGACTGAGAAGTGGAAAGGCTCCTGGGCCTAATGGAATGCTGACTGAGATCTATTGATTCTGATGCAGCACATTCATTGGCCATCTAACTCCACACTCTGTAACGTCTAGCCGAAAGAAAAGGTATGGGAACAGATAAAAGATGTCAGGAATGTCACCAGCTGTGATCACAAGTTTCCAAAAGGGATTGTGACAGTTAGTGAAGCATCTCTTTAACGTTAGTCCCCAGGAATACACTGTCAAGCATTTTTCTCTGTAAGATCCAGATGGCATCTCAGATATTTTCCCTTTAGAGTCGCATGCAGTTTTAGTATCTAGGTTCGTTTAGATGTTTACATATTGTGAATCACTTACATTGCTATTAGGTGTTGCCAGCTGAAGAAAAGAAAAGAAATAGAGACTTTTAGAAAGTCCTTTACCATGATAAGGCTTTATTCCATCAGTCATTCAGACTTCCGACTCTGTAAGGGGCTGGATACATAAAATTTAAAAAAAATAAAAGAGCAGCAGCATGATGTAGGGTCTACGCACACGAACTCCAACTAGGTTTTCCCCGTTCGAGCCCTCATGCTAGCATTAAATGGCAGTATCTTTGGGAAAGCCAACTTACTTGTCCCTCAGTTTCTTAAACTGTATTATAGGGATAATTAATAGTATCTATCTCACAGGATGAAACCAATTTGTATCTTTTAAATGTATAGAACAGTGCCTGGCACCTAGTAAGTGATATAAAATGTTGTTAATAAAACAGTAATAATAACTTACACCCAGGCAGCTGGATTAACCCGGAGGCACATCAGACTTCCTCACTATTTTGATGCTTCCAGGCAGACAGGATAACAGGATAAACTGATTCAGACTGCCACCAGGTAAAAAGATAAGAACAGGATATTTGGTTTGTCAAATCCAAAAAAGGTGTTTTAATATTAATAGGAAGGTCTTTACATCCCACTAATCTCGAGTAAAACTGAAAACCAAACACTGATTCATTTCTTATGTTTAAAAACATAAAATATGAGAACAATCAATCTCCTTTATTAGTAGAGATAGTTAACCTCAGATCAGCTAACCTCTGCCACTCAGCAGGCTCCCCCTCCACCCGTTATTGTGTATTCAGGGAGTGCAACCCAATTAACCTGAGCAAACAAGAATAAAAAGATAAATCTCACAAAGGGGGAAAATCATACAGTGCACTCCCAAAATTGCTCTCTTTGCAAACTGTAATCTTTATTGATTCTCTCATTCTCTTCTTTCTTATTCAGAGTGGCTAATAAAAAGTTGACCATATACAATTTTCCCATAAAGCTAAATGTCCCTGAAGGATGTGAGAAATAAAAGGAGGTAATATGACTACATTAAAATCGCACTCAGAATAAGGTATGACAGAAAGGGAATAAATAAGAAATGTTTTGAGGAATGAAAAAGAATTCAAGATTAAAACAAAAACTACTTACCCACCTAGAAGGGGGAAAAATAACTACAATCAGGAACAACTACATAATTTGTGGGGACCTCTACAAAGTGAACAGACAGAGGTTCTTGTTCAAAATGTATTAAAAAAATTAAGACGGAAGAGCAGAGCACTAAGCCAAGTGCAGCGTCCTTCTAAGCGTGGGACTCAATGTACCCGCATAGGTCATGTGCCCATGAGCCTGCCTCGGTATGAAGACACGAGCTTATAAGTGTTATAAAATGAGAAAAGATACAGGTAAGGACATCAATTCAGATGACCGTCTACATACATTTAAGGCAGGAGAAAGGGAAACAGATTAAGTGAATGTCAGAGAATAGAGGGAAAAGACTGGGAAATAAAGATGAAAAAGTGAACAGATAAGGAAGGCCAAAGTGAAAAGGCAAACCTACGTCAACTCCACCTGCAAAAGGCATGACAGCAAGGTGGAGCAGCAGAAGCAGGTCCATACCTGACCCTCCAAACCAAGCAGCCAGCAAGAGAGCACCATGTGCTTTCATGCCAGGGAAATGACACCTCCAGTTACCCAAGGAGCCTCATTAGAAGCAGCGGAAGAGGGCCTGTGAAAAGGGCAATGACTAAGTGTTACATAAAAGTTCTTTCAAAGTCCTTTGAGTAGGAAAACATCTAAATGTGGGTCAACCTTTTTTTTTTAGAATAAAGAGAATGTCTGACAATTGAAACATACTATCATAACTAGCTTTTCAAATGATAGAATAGAGAGGGCACTTGAACACGAACAGACAAAATGATTCACTATGTCACACAAAACTCAGGAGTTAGCTAGCTGTTAGACATGATGGCTAAAAAGGATTGCCGGCCACTATATGCCAAGAGGAACAAAGAGCATAGTCACAAAGTAGTTGGTTCATGTTTTTGTTGTGAACTATAATCAAGATAATCAACTGCTAGTTGAAGTGCATGCTTCGATGTTTAAAAAACATCCAGTGTACACATGTGCATTGAATGAGTTGAGGCATTCAAATCTATTACCCTGAAAAATTACTCTTGTATCCCAATCAAGCTGCAATTGCTCAAAACATTTTTAGGCCTGTTCTTTCTTCATGGAAAATTTTTAACTTGCAAGTGTTTGGAGCTGTTTGGTTATTTAAAAATGTAAATCTGCAGAGTAAGCTGGATCAAAAATTATAAAATTAAGGAAGTATTTTTCAGCTGGGTGCAGTGGCTCACACCTGTAATCCCAGCACTTGGGGAGGCTGAGGTAGGCAGATCATGAGGTCAGGAGATTGAGACCATCTCAGCCAACATGGTGAAACCCTGTCTCTACTAAAAATACAAAAATTAGCTGGGCATGCTGGCATATGCCTATAGTCCCAGCTCCTTGGGAGGATGAGGCAGGAGAATCACTTGAACCCAGGAGGCAGAGGTTGCAGTGAGCCAAGGTCATGCCACTGCACTCCAGCCTGGTGACAGAGCAAGACTCCAACAAAAGAAAGAAAGAGACAGAGACAGAGACAGAGAGAGAGAGAGAGAGAAATTTGGAGAGAAAGAAGGAAAGAAAGAAGGAAAGAAAGAGAAAGAAAGAAAGAAGAAAAAGAAAGAAGGAAAGAAAAGAAAGAAGAAGGAAAGAAAGAAAAAGAAAGAAAGAAAAGAAAAGAAAGAAAGGAGGGAAGGAGAGGAGGGAGGGAGGGAAGGAAGGGAAGGAAGAGTTTTTGTGATTCAAACCAGTTCTGAAGCTGAGATTTAAAAATGGAGAATTCACAAAACGTTTAAAAGTGAAGACAGGATTATGGAGTAAGTACATGGACTGTCTTGCTCAACAGTCTCATAAATATATAGGTCTAAGAAATCAGAGAAACTTGGAGCTGTAAATAACCTTAAAGGCTGTATAACCTCTCTATAGCTTCCTATTAAGTGGATGAGGAAACTGAGGGCCCCATAGGTGGAGATTTGCCTGAGGCCACACACCTGCTTCAAGGAGAGGCGGGACCAGAAAACAGTTCACACTCTCTCCCATCCAGGAGTCTTTCCACACCACTGGGAACATCTGCCAAAACCGTGTGACCTTCCGGAAAGTCACTGAGAACCACAGGTATCATCTACAAACATGCCGAATTGTTGCCATTTCTGAAAGGCAAGTCAGTCAGTCCTGGTTGTCATGGCAATAACTCTTCACACTCACAGCCTGATGATTACAAATGTAAAAATGCAGCCACCCCAGACAGGAATAAACCTTATTAAAATGACGTTCTAAAAACGGCACCGCTTACCTGGTTTGCCCATTCTGAGTTGCAAATCTTGACTGCAATTGTCATGTAAGCTCAGTTCAGTCCAGACATCTATATTTAATAGCATCCAGAGATATTCTTTGTCTTGGGACTTTAGGAGGAAGAAAAAACAAAGGTGGTTGAGCATAACAACCAACATTAGGAAACTGAAATCTAAAAGGTTATTGTACATGCGTTAGCATAATTACACACAAAAAAACTATAAATAAACAGTGATGTTCTAATACTAAAACTACTCGCTAGGAATTAGTGAAGCCTGGAGCCCCTTGCCTCTGCTTTCTTCTTTCTCTTAGTGCCCATTTTTCCCTGATGATGCTGTTCTTTTCCCAGATGTGTGTTGTCGTGGCTGATTTTTGTATGACAGCACTAATCCAACGTCTGTGCCTACAACCTCTCAGAATTCAAATCCAAAATAACAGAGTCTGAGTCCACTGTTTCCTAAGGAGATGTTTTGCCCTCTACACTGCACTATGAGAAAAGCAATGCCTACCACCAGCCACTAAAATGTGTTTTCTGTTCTAACCGGAAAGTTTCATTCTCTAAGTTTCTACCCAGCTCCTGTCAGCAACAAGAGAAATTTCCAAGTCTAGTCCAAGCTAAAAACTGATCCCCCACAGAACAGAAGCAGGAATCTAACGAGACTCCTTAAGCAAATGCTGCAACCTAAGATTTAATCATGCAAACAATTCCAAAATACACACGAGTGATAGTTCAAAAATTTCAAACGTTGACGCAATGCTGTGTCGCGGAGTGGTTTTTACATACATTTTCTCAGGGCACATCAGTGTCTGATAGCTGGGAGTGCCTCTTGTGTTCTGCGTAATCACACCAGCACTCAGAATGGAACACCTGACTACTCTCTGAAGTCCAAGTTTTTCAAAACATTCAGTATCGACAGGAGTGACATACTGTTACCTTTCCCAAGTAACCCTTTCCTACCCCTCCTTCACCTATTCACCGTGCCTTCTGAAACGTCAGGTCTGTGACCAACGAACCTATTCATGTTTTCACCTTTTCTTTAAATGACCCTTTGCGCTGCGCTTATCCACAAGTGTTCTCTGCAGTTGTGTCAGGGACAGAAGAGGAGGCGGTGTTCTTTTTGACCCACACAGCTGCTTCTAAACAGTTGATTTCTCCAAAAGCTTTCAAAACCTACAGCTCCTTGGAAGCTCGACCGTCCTGCTATGCTGCCCACCTTCCTGTGCTCCCCTCTGTGGACTTCATTCATACGGCCCTCCCATCTACTGAAGACACTGCTGACTCCCTGCATTTCCTCCACTCCGACACCATTCATCCTTCCTTCGGACTTCATTCAGCAACCGCGTGATGACTCATCGGATGCCTCGGTTTCCCGGTTCTTCTATTTCACCTCCAATAGCTCGCTTCCACTTTAGTCAGTCATTCGTGTTGTTGCAACTGACACCTCCTAAATGTCAGCAAATGCGTCACCACCAAAATTTCTGTTTGAAACCTACCACTTTGATCCTCCTCTTGCTCTGGCTCACTCTAGAATGTTCACTAATTCTACTCCACTCTAACCTTCAGCCATGCTCACTACCTTCTCATTCCCAGCCTGTTCATTTTCCTTCTTCATGCTTTACGCCACGATCCGTGACCACCATCGTTCCCTTGGAAGTACCCTCAACTTCTCTGTCATATTTCATTCCATTGTACTTAGCTGAGAACCGTTTTTTGTTCCCTTCCTCTTCTCTGCCCACCACTCAGCAGCTAAATCTAAAACATATCACACATTGGCTTCCTGGCTTCACCATAACTTCATGATAACAGACCTAGAATGATCAATCACCAATCGCCAGCAACGTTAAAATTTTTCCCAAGTAAGTTCAATTTTGTCCTTCCAGGATGACCTTCCTTACTCCTTAGACCTCCTCTCTATCTCTCAGATGAGGATGTTGCCTCAGAGTCATTGAAAAAATAGGAACTGCTAGATTAGGACCCCTTGGTAGTGCAAATCAACTCCACAAATGTTTCCAGTTTGCAGTTCTAAGTGTCTTCACACCTATCAAAAGAAATCGTTTCCACAGGTGCTTTTGCGCCAACCCTCTCCTCACTTTCTCAAGAATTTCACAGCTTCAGTTGTCTCCCCATGCCCTTCCATCCACCCATTCCCTCTGTCACATCATTTCTGCATATATTTTCACCATCTCCCACACATTTTCACATTTATTTTCACTGTCTCCCGTACAGTTTCACTATCTCTCATCTTAAAAAAAAAAAACAAAAACTCTCTTAACCTCCTAGTCCCCCATCCAGCGAACACTTTCCTTTTCTCCTTCTTTCCTCAACAAAGCTCCCTGAATGAATCGTCCTCATCTGCTAGCTCTACTTCCTTATTTTCAAGTCACTTTTCAAACTTTTCAATCTATCAAGGTTTCAACAACCTTTTGTGGACAATTCTATGATCGCTTTTTTGTTATTGCACGTATTTCTTCAGCAGCACCGTTGGGTGGTCACATTCATTCCTGCACTTTTAAATATCATCTATGATAACGACCTTCAAATTTATACCTAGATCAAAGTCCAAACTGCACCAGCGCCGACTTGCAAACTCCTCTTGAATGTGTAATGGGCATCTCATAAAACAAAAAACATAGCTCTTCCCCCAAGACTTTCCCAGATCAGGAAACAGAACCACAGTCCACTGAATTATTCCAGCCAAAATCAATGACTCTTTTCCCCCATTCTTTCTAAGCCATCAACAAGTCCTGCACATCCGAAATGCAACTCAGGTGCCTTCACTGCTCTCCATCTGTACAGCCAGCATGTTCCAGGCAGAGTCTCTGAACTGGTTTTCTGTTTCACGGCACTCCCACAATGCCAATTACTCATTCTCCATGAAATAGCCAGACACTTAAAAAGATAAGTTAGATTATACTGTCCCTTGCTTAAAATCCATCAGTGTTATCCTGTGTCTCTCAGAATAAAACCAACTTTCTTTTTTTTTGAGACGGAGTTTCGCTCTTGTTGCCCAGGCTGGAGAGCAATGGCACGATCTCGGCTCACCGCAACCTCCGCCTCCTGGGTTCAGGCAATTCTCCTGCCTCAGCCTCCTGAGTAGCTGGGATTACAGGCACGTGCCACCATGCCCAGCTAATTTTTTGAATTTTTAGTAGAGACGAGGTTTCACCATGTTGACCAGGATGGTCTCGATCTCTTGACCTCATGATCCACCCGCCTCGGCCTCCCAAAGTGCTGGGATTACAGGCTTGAGCCACTGCGCCCGGCCCAACTTTCTAACCGTAGGTCTGTGGCCTGTTCAGCCTCACTCTGCACAGCACTCCCCTCATTGCAATAGTGCAAGAACGTGGTCTTCCTTCCCGTTTACTGTTTGAACACACCAAATCTTTTCTGTCCTCTAGGCCTCTGCATGTGCTGATCATTCCATGTGAAACGCTTCCACTCCTCCTCTCCTCTTACTCCCATTGGACGTGACTGGCATTCTTATTCCCAACATTGGCAAAGATGTCACCTCCTCAGAGAAGCCTTCACTAACCTCCACAGATATTGTCCACCTCGTTATGTTTATTTTTTCTAAACCCTAATGACAGTCCACAGTTACCTTGTTTATATATTTGCTTACTTTTTCATTGTGTTTTCTTTCTCATTCTAGTTTAAGTCCACTGATGACAGGGACTCTGACCGTCTTGATCACTGACGAATCTTCCACACAGAATGCATTAACACATTGTAGAAATTCAGTAAAGATCTGCTGAACAAATGAAGAAATTTCTTCCTGGTAGGTTTTTCTTCTAATATACACATTGAGAATATTTGAGAAATAATTGAGGAGATGGCTCAAATTTTTTATATACTTCATTTTCAAAATTATGCATTACTTCTGGTGTTAAAGTTATAGG